CGGTTAGAACCAAAACAGATCTCGCGTCGCCAGGGAGACTCGAAGGGGAAGGGAGCCTCGGTCACGCAATGGGAAGATCGACGGGGGGAGGGGGGGGTTCTCGAACTCTCAAGGAGGGGGCCTCCGAGAGAGCGGGAGCCTCCGATGGGAGCTGAGGGGACAGGTGGGACCCTAGAGATCGTGTGGAAGCTGGGAACTGGGCTTCGGAGGAGGCTCCTCTCAGAGGAGCCGTTGAAGCGCCACTGTGACTGCCCCTCTTGAAGACCCACTGCATCTTGTGCGTGGTACCACGGAATCCCTCAGGAATCATCATCCCTGGGCCTTCCTCTACTTTTGAGAGATGGCCCTGGTCACACCCACCCTCCGTAGACGCTGAGAATGAGTAGGCAGAGGCCCAGGGACATGGTTTTGTGAGGCAATGTGTCTAGTGTTGGTCACTGGGAGAGTCCAAGGAACTAGCAACGGTGGTAGGTTTTTAGCTTAGACCCCAGGGTCAAGTTCAGGTTCTGCCACTTCTTGGGCATCCCAGACATCTCATTTACTCGCTCATTCCTCGTTTGTTTAAAAATTAAAAAAAAAAAAAAGACTAGTAAAAGATGAGTGCAGATTAAGTACTGCTAGGATGTGATCCGCAGTCTGTATGGCCTCTCAGCCCGGGGATCTCACCCTAGGGTGCTATGCCAGAATGGGACCTGAAGAAGTCCAGAATCTGAAACGAAAACTGGCCGCAGTAGTGCTGCAAGCGGGTCAACGTTTGCTCCCATCACTTGACATAACAGAAGAACCTGTCCCTCGGACCAGCCCTCCAGTGGGTTCTGCAGCCTTCCTAAAGGCTGGGCACACGGGCTCTTGTTGACAAGTAAGTAGAAATCATCACTCTTGGAATGCCTACTAGGACTTCAACCTTAACATGCAAAGTTGTGCACAAGGACAGCGTGTCTGTTTCTGGGTACCAAACTATCCCAGAACTTAATAACTTAAACAGGCCTGGTTGGTGAACCTGGAGAACAGCAGCTTATGCTGTGTTGAGCTGGTTTGATTCATCTCTGCTTCATGGCTGATCTCTCCCCCCATAAACCATGTGTTGCCCGCTGTTAGTGTCTGGCTCATGTTGCTTCTTATAATGGCTGTGGTCTACCCACAAGAGAGCAAGCTCCAACACACAGGGCCTTTCCAGCCACTGCACACATCACCTGTTTTCCCTGTGACTCACGGACTAACTTGAAGAGGCTGGGCCTGGCACAAGTAAATACGAGAGACAGACGTAGACGTAGGAAGTATGTTCAATCAGAGGCCACCACTTTGACAGACCGTTGGTTCATTGTGGACTGTTACAGCAAAAACAGAACTGTGCCAGTCTCCTCCAGAAGGAGCTAGGATAGTCTATTTGCTGTGTATACTGCCAAAAAAAAAAAACTAGCTCGCAGTGAAGATAACAGGGCACATAAACAGAGGCAAGAAAGTGGCATTCTGGTGACCTCTCAGGTGTCTGATGGTATCGTGTACATGGGTGGGTCTGCTGATTAGGAAGACATTGTAGACATCAGATGGAGATTACCATACATGGGGTAGAGATGTCACAGGTTATTTTATTAGAGAGAAATCACTTACATGAGAAACCGATAACCCAAGGTCAGTGCTCTGAGCGTCCAGTCTCAGCCGCTCTCTGAGACCCGACCGGAACCCCAAGAGAGATGCACACTTCCTCTCCCTAGGCCTATATCCCACACAACCCGCACACACCAGTGGCCACGCCCAAACGGGTGTAGTCAGCGCTATAGGTACCTAGTAAGGTCTCTCCCTACAAGACATCTTCACTTTCATAGTCTAGAAGTAGATCCTGTCAGGATGCCTGGTAATAGCATAACTAGGAGATACTCCAGTGTAAGGAACATGTATGTTGGGCCTGAACTGTGCAAACCCACTATGCCACATAGCCATGAGACTGCACAGACTGTTCACCTTCCATCTACAGGAGAGACGTGTATCCACCTGGTCCATCACTGATGACTACAAAGGCTTGATGGTGGAGTCTTAGGAACCATAATGGATATAAATATGAGTTATGGGGTCCTGGAATTGCAGTCTATTGGAAGAAACGGGAAGCCTGTGGTATTTGAGCTACTCCTTTAGCATGAGTAGAGATGGTGATGAGAATGCCCAAGGTGGAGGGAAGAGTGTGTTTCACCCCAGGAATTAGGAAAATAACTGCCCATATTCCTGCAGAGTCACCCAGATTGGCCCCGTTAGATCTTACACCCTCCCTCAACTTCCAGGAGGTGCAATATACTAAGCGATTAAGCCGCAGGGGATAAACAGATCTGCAGCCTGCTTTTGTACACTTCACAGCCTAAGAAATAATTTTACAATTTTACATTGTCATGGGGAGTGAAAATATGTAACAGGCTTATGTGGTCTACAAGGCTTAAAATGTTCATCATCTGGCCCTTTATATTAAAGACACCTTCTTTAAGAGCCAAGTAAGATCTACCTTTATAGTGGGAGTTAGGTCAGCCACCATCACACCTTCAAAGTATGTGGGCTTCTCGGGAAGAAAGCAAGCAAAGGGAGCAGCAGTAGTAAGGAATGCTGGCTGATGGGTACCAGCTTTAGTGCTAACACAGGGTCCCAGGTTAGATGTAGAGAGGTCAGCGGGGACTAGAAAAAGTCATTTGGGGACATAGATCTCAGAAAGACTAAGAAGAATAGATTGATGCCGCAGCCTGAAGCGGGGGGGGGGGGGGGGGGGTAAGAACTTAGAAGGACTGCCAGATGCTGCGGAGGAGATGGTGGTCTGTGTTGCAGCAGGGGGGAGATAGAATCCAAGGTCCTCATGGGCTCTGTTGAGTGTGCAAGTCTGTCAGATGCTCAAATTACACTGCCGTGGAGGTAGGTAGCAACACACAAGAGACCAGGATCAGAATGAGGCCATCCATTTAAGACCCAAGGAAGTGGAAGAGGTCAGCCACCACCTAAAGAGAGTGCAGAGAGGAGAAAAGAGAAGCTAGTACAAAGGAGGACCCCAGAGACAGGAGCCAATAGAAAAGAAGATGAAAACCGCTTGGACTTGAAAACAGGAGGTTATAGTGACCTTGAAGATTCAGCAGTGTATTGGGGACACTATTAGCTACAAAGGGAAAACTTCAAATCTCATGGCCCATTTTCTTAAGTTTTATTTTTGTGGAGCTGGAGATCAAACCCTGGGACCCATGGAACATTCTACCACTGACTCACACTCTGACCTCAAAACCTAAGGACTGACAAAGTATAGAATAACTTCACTAATAAAATCCAAAATGATTACAGAACTCAGCAAACCAAACTCCAGGCACAAATAAAGAAACAATGTCATGTTCAAGTAATAGTTCCCTTCTAAGAACATGACTTTGTGTTAGCACTTTTACATTTACTAATCACAATAAAACATGGGGCAGCATTGTATGATAATCTCAGTAGCTGTAGAAAGGGATTTTTGAGAAGACAACTTTGGTGGATCAGGCCTGCAATCCTAGCACTAAGCAGGCTGAGGCAGGAGGATCACTGCAAAGCTGAGGATAGCCTGGGCCACAGAATGAAACCCTATATCAAAAGGGGGGAATAAAAAACTTTTAATAAAATCCAGCATCGTTTCTATTTGGAGAACTACTCTTTGGAAAGTAAGAATAGAAGAAGAAAGCTTTCTCAGTCTGAGGAAGACTATATTAGGATTCTCTAAAGCTGCAATTCTCAACCTGTGGGTCACAACCCCAAATGACCCTGTCACAGGGATCACCTAAGGTCATCCAGAAAAACAGAGATGTACATTGCAATTCACAACAGTAGCAAAATTACAGTTATGGAGTAGCAATGAAAATACTTTTATAATTGGGGGTCACCACAACATAAGGAACTGTATTACAGTGTCACAGCATTGGGAAGGCTAAGAACCACTGCACTAAAGGAACAAACTGATAGAATAAATATGTATTACTGTCTGGGTTTGCTTCTTGTGGTTAGGACAAACACCATGGGCAAATGCAGCTTGGGGGAAGAAAGGATTTATTTCAGCTTATACTTCCAGGCATGCAGTCCATCACTAAGGGAAATCAGGGCAGGCACTAAAGCGGAAACCATGGTGGAATGCTGCTTACTGGCTTTCTCCATGTTTCTGAACAGCTTCCATTTTTACACAGCCCAGGACCCTCTGCCTAGGGATGGTACCTCTGACAGTGGGGTGGACCTTCCTATATCAATTAGTAATCTTGATAATGCCCCACATACATGCCCTCAGGCCAGTCTGGTTGTGATAATTCTTCTATTAAGATTCCCTCTTTCCAACCAATTCTAGATTATGTTAAAATGAGCAAAACCAAACCAAGGTAATTACAAAGGCAAATTATGAGATTGACTTACACACCACACACTGAGTAGTCCAACAATGACTGGTTGCACACTGGAGAGTCTGATGACCTGCTAGATGAGACTGTATGCCCCAGAGGTCTCAATTTGGCACTGAAGGCTTGAAGGATTCCCAGAGAGCCACTGGTCTTAAGTCCACATTGGAAGGCAGAAGAAGAAGCTGGGCTCTGATCAAAGCAAAGGATAGCAACAGCAACATCTCAAGGAGCAAAGGTAGCCGGTCAAAAAGCAATAGCTTTTCCCTCTGACCCCCTTATATCTGGACTGCCACTAGAAGGTGCCCACACTTGAGAAAGATCTTTCTCCCTCAAATCCTTCCAAGAAATGACATTACACACCCACTGAGTTGATTCCCATCCTAACTGACAACCGAGATGAACCATCGACAAACCATCGCCAAAGCTGTCTATGAAAACACCTGAAACAAACTCAAGATGCCAAGAATAGTCTCTGAATTAGACAAAAGATAACAATGTTATTTTTCCCAAAACTGCAACTACCACAGTCTGGTCAACCCAGCAAGACAGACATGGAATGAAATACATAAAGACGAAATGGATATAGACACGTAATGCAGAAGTTTTAATCTACAAGTAAATTAATGAAAAGACATGATTACAGAGTTTAAAGTTGTCATGCACCACCCAAAAATGATTTTCTATGAATCAGCAGCAAGCATGTAATTTAAGATTTAATTTTAGGGGGCTGGAGAGATGGCTTAGTGGCTAAGAGTACCTGTTGCTCTTGCAGAAGACCAGGGTTTGAGTCCCTGCACCCGCATGGTGGGTCACAAGCCTTTTTTTTTTTTTAGAATTTATTTATTTATTATGTATATAACATTCTGCTTCCATGTATGTCTGCACACCAGAAGACAGCACCAGATCTCATAACGGATGGTTGTGAGCCACCATGTGGTTGCTGGGAATTGAACTCAGGACCTCTGGAAAAGCAGTTGGTGCTCTTAACCTCTGAGCCATCTTTCCGGCCCCCCACAAACATTTTTAATTCCAGTTCCAGGGAATCCAATGCCCTCTCCTGACCTTCACATGCACGTGATGAACATACATACATGCAGGCAAAACACGCACAAAACAAAATAGTAAATTTAGCCAGGCAGTGGTGGCACACACCTTTAATTCCAACACTCAGAAGACAGAGGCAGTTGGATCTCTGAGTTTGGGCCCAGCCTGGTCTACAGAGCAAGTTTCAGGACAGCCAGGGCTACACAGAGAAGCCCTGTCTCAAAAAAAACTGAAAAAAAGTAAATCTGATTTTTAAAGTTTAATTTGCTTATATGTCTGTCTCTGTGTGGATATTCACACATGAGCGCAGCACCTGTATAAGAAAGTTGTGAGTGACCCAGGAAGATGCTGGGAACTAAACTCCAGTCCTCTGCAAGAGCAGCAATTGCTTTTATCCACTAAGCCATCTTTCTAGCACCAACCCAAGCAAATAGATAATTTAGAAAAACATCACTTTATAGTAACTATAAAAGTATGAATTAAGAATAAGCCTGGGCTGGAGAGATGGCTCAGTGGTTAAGTGCACTGACTGTTCTTCCTGAGGTCCTGAGTTCAATTCCCAGCAACCACATGGTGGCTCACAATCGCCTTGAATGAGATCTGGTGCTGTCTGCCTGCATGCAGGCAGAAGATTGTATACTAGATAGATAGATAGATAGATAGAATCTTAAAAAAAGAATAAGCCTAAACATTATATGATCTTTGAAAAGAAAAAAACACTTTTAAAAGTCAATGAAAGAGCAACTAAATGTATAGCCACGGATTGTGTTAATGGCCAAGCAGATGTCACTATCAGAGTCACAGGGATCCTTCTAAATGTTCTACCATGGGTTCCATGCAGCTTGACCAAACCTAAGCTATATAATGGGAGGCTGAGGCTCTAGAATAGCCAGTGCACTTCCTAAGAAAATAAAGTCAATCCTGTAGTAGTTCAGTCCTAATCCCTAGCATAGGTATGACTTTGGGAGCCTATTCCACATAGAGGAATACTCCCTGAGCCAAGACACACGGCGGGGGGGGGGGGGGGGGCGCGGCTAGGCCCTATCCCAAAGAATACGATAGACTCTGATGACACCCTATGGAAAGCCTCACCATCCAGGGGGAGCAGAAAGGATATGTGATAGGTAGGGTTTTAGTTGGGGGGGGGGTGGTAGGGGAGGAGGAGAGGCAGAGGGAACTGGGATTGTCATGTAAAGCAATCCTGTTTCAAATTCAAATAAAAAATCTGCAAAAAAAAAAAAAGAAGAAGAAGAAGAAGAAGAAGAAGAAGAAGAAGAGAAGGTCAAGGATTTGCACTTCCACTAGCACAGTGTACTACTACTCAGTTACAGTAAAGGTCTCTGTGTAAGAGTGGACATAGTGACCAAAGAAAATAGGCACACACATACATTGATATATGACAAGGTGTTACAGGCCAGTGGTGAAAAGCTGACCAATAAGTGATACTAGGACATTTGTCCACGTGAGGCAAAATGGAATCAGAAACAAACTTTATACTATGCATAAGAATCAGTATTTTGCATTTCTCTATCATTGATGAGGTTGGACAAGTTTACATACTTTTCCTTTTGTAAAGCATCTGTTTTTCTATTTTATCCATCTGTCTTAAACTGTTGGCTTTTTATCATTTTTTTTTTTACATTCCTGCCAGAGTAAGACACTGCTTCGCAAACTAAAGGACTATCACTGCAAGGAACCTGCATCGCCAAACAGTGACCTAACAGACACCACAGATTCTCTGTAAGAAAAGCAAACTGAGAAAAGCAGTGGTTTAAAACAAGGAATGATGTTGCTGTTTTTAAATTAGATGCAAAGTTTGGCTTTTTACACTACTTTAAAATAAAGGACCTGAACAGACAGGAAGATTTCGATTTGTTTATTGTTTTTGTCTGTTTGTTTTTAGGACAAGGTCTCACTTTGTAGACCTGATTGGCCTGGAACTCACTAGGTAGAAAAGGCTAGCCTGGAAATCACAGAGACTGACCTGCGTCTGATTCATGAATGCTGAGATTAAAGGCATGTACCACCACCCTGATCTTTTTTAATTACTTTAGTTACTATGTTAGCAGTCTTTCTTGAGACACAAAATAACTGGCAACCAGAGAGAGCCTTGGATTTTGGTTGTTGTTTTGTTTCGTTTTTGTTTTTCAAGACAGGGTTTCTCTGTATTGCTTTGGAGCCTGTCCTGGCTCCAGGCTGGCCTCGAATGCACAGAGAGCTGCCTGCCTCTGCTTCACAAGTGCTCAGAGTTTATAAAGGCATGTGCCACCACCGCCCTATGGTGTTCTCAAGTTGGCCTAAGGGACAGTAGATTCTCAGTTGGTGTGTAAAGCCTCTTGGGACACAGACCACAGTATGTGTGTGGTCCCCATCAGTGGTTTTAACCTAGAACTTCAGGGTTCAACACAACTGTTCTATGCAAACTACTGTGCACACACAGGCTACAGATAGCGCTATAGAAAGTGCAGTCTGTGTAGCTTTTGTACATTCTTATTGAGACATAAAATACAGAATAGAATACATGTGTTGATAAATTAGCCTGAGATGTACACACCTGTGAAAACTACCAAAGGCAAGAAGCAGACACGAGCTCCACTCCAGGATCCAGTGTGTCCTTCCCAGCACCCCTGCCTCTGTGTCCCCAAGATAACCTTGCCCACGGATTAGCGATGTCCTTTTTACTCTTACATGAGTGGAACCACACAATAAATGCTCTTCTGGGCCTTGATTCTGGCATTTATTCCTGTGAGTCACCTTCCCTAGTACAACAACACCTTTTTGTTACCCTGTAGCCACATCACATTAAATTTCCACAATGTTCAGCTGCTACTGAGGAGGCTCCATCTGCCGCCTGTTTTGCTACTTTGTCTCATCCTTCTATGAATGCTCTGCCCAGGCCTCTAGACATGCATTTGCATGCTCCATCTTTGAAACACAAGAAGCAGGAACCCTCACTGCTTTCACAGGCAGTGCCAATTTCCCACATGTTTTCTACCATTAAAAAAAAAAAAAAAAAAAGCAGACTTCTGGCCACTGTTTGTTGCACTGTGATCGGCCCATGGTCTGCTGCACCTACTTTTCTGACGGTCATGGGCTGAGCATGTTGATATGCTGACTCTCCTTCCACATGTGGACACTTCGTGGTGAATGGCTACGGGCTTGCTTTTCCCTCCTACTCCATTCTTTGTCTACCTGGACACAGACTCTTGCAAGTTGTGTGTGTGTTATAAATATCTTCTCTCACTCTCTGGCTTGCTTTTTTTCATACTCTTAATGGCCTCTGATAAATAGTTCTTAATTTCAATGTGGTCCAATTTATCTGTCCTTTTCCTTGTGGTTAGCATCTTTTGTGTCTCAGCTACTTGTGTGGTCATAAAGATATGACACTATTAGCTTCTTGATGTGTTCTTACCATCTTCGACTTCACAGCAGTAATCTGCCTGCAACTCTTTCTCCGCACTGTGTGAGGTAGTTCAGATTCAGCCTGTCGCTCCTGAGTGTTCAGTTAGCCCATCATTTATTGCATTTGGTACCTTCATAGCAAATCAAGGGCCATAGGTGGCAGTGGTTGCAGCTCCATCCCTCCCCACCAAGGCTCCTTTTCTTGGGTGTGGTCACCGGTCTGTCTCTCTACCAATACTTGCTTCCTTAAACATCGAGGTTTAGAGTAAATGTTTTGACTACAGCATCTCCATCTAGTTTTTCTTTTTAAACATTTTCTTGGCTGTTGTTGGTATTTTATATTTTCTGAGGACTTAGCTTGTTTTGAGATGGAGTCTAACTCTGTACCTCTGGTTGACCTGGAATTTGCTTTCGCCTACGCTGATTTTGAACATGTGCCAGTCTGCCTCCCTCACCCCAGGACTGGGATCACTATGTCCAGCCCCACAGGGTTTGTTTGTTTTTAATGGTCCTTCAGGTTCATCAAATGGCCTGCTAGAATTTTTGTTAGAATTCCACTGACATCACCAGGTCTGATGGACAAGCCTGTAATTCCAGATGCTTAGGAGGCTGATGCAGGAGGATTGCAATCAAGGCCTGTCTAAATTATTTTAAGGCCAGAATGGGCAACTTAGACTGTATCAAAATTTTAAAATTAGGGTCCAGAAGAGGCTGGGTAGTTAAGAGCACTGGCTACTCATTTTTTTTCCAGCATCTAATTGTCATTTTATTTTTTTTATTTTTTATATATTTGAATTACAAACAAGATTGAATTACATGATGATCCCAGTTCCCTTCTCCCTCTCTTCCTCCTCTGCCACCCCCCCCACTAAAATCCTACCTGTCATATGTCCTTTCTT